ATCTCAACGAGGAAATTAAATTTTGGTGCAAATTCTGTCTGTGTCGTTTTATGGGAGTACTTAAAAATAGATAGCTAATCACTTAATGGTTTCGGAAATTAAACCTTTTAGTGATACTTATTCATCTCGGCGCGCTGGTGCCTTGTCCTTCGTTTAACGTCCCTGGTTCTTTCTTTTCTTTCCTTTGTAATAGATTTTGAATCTAATGTCATCATTACTGCGTCTGAAGACAAAAACTTGTTTGGTCATGAAGAAGTAGACACCCCTACCTCTGAACAGTCCGTGGTGGCGTCACAAGAGATCTTAAGTGATAGCGTAGAATCAGTAATTGTAGGACAGCAAGATGACCAAGATAATGGCCAGTTGTTGGAGAGTAGCGAGAATGAACACAACTCTACCAGCGATATCAACAATCATGATGCTGATAGCGTTTTGCCAGAAACGATGAAAGACCCTAAAGTAACAGTTTCCACCGAAGGTGTACGTTCTGTACTCTCCGAAAGGGAGGATGGGTCACTCGGTATGCAACCCGCTCGAAGCAAACGTACCCGGCAATCTCGGAGATCCATGAGACCCGAACCAGCTACTTCAACGGAGGATACCGATTCTACAGTAACCGAGGAAGAAACTCCAGCAGTTACTGGAAGGGCGAGAAGGTCCCGAATGAGTGGAGCACCAAGCACAATAGCCGAGAACCTGGACATTCAAGATGTTCAAGACAGAGAGTCTAGAGGAGGAATGGATGTGAGCGACATTGATAAGGCTGAATCATCAGATATATTGAGTCAGGGCAGTGCTGCTCCGGAGACCGGAAGTGACTCCCAGGAAGGGCTAAGTGAAAGTTTGGTTTCTTCTTCAGAGACAGAGACTGCCCCGGCAGGTCCACGGCAAGGGAAAGTGGGACGGGGAAGAAAACGAAAACAGGAAAGCACTGAAATGGAAGGAGTGGTCCCTCGGCCACCAACGAGGAAGACGCGAAGGGAAGCAGCAGAGACGGAAGGTTCAGTGTTCATGGAAAGGGTCAGTGAAGGAAGCAAGAATGTAGATTACGAGAACATTTCCATGGAGACTCCTGTTGTCATTAGCCAGGAGGAGGGAAAAAAAGTGGTTTCTGAAAGTCCTAAGATAGAAACCTCACCTGAAATAGAAGGAAACGGGAAGTCTGGTATACTCACCAACAGACGACAAACACGGAAATCTGCGCAAAAATCACAAGAACCAGAGGTACCACAGGGAAGCATAACATCTCGTCAAGTAGAAGCATCTTCCAATACAGCGGAAGAGGATGAAGCAATGGACGTTGGCAGCAACCGAAGAAGTCGTAGATCAGCCCCAAGAAATATCTCACAGCGAACTAATAAACCTTCCGTCAAGAGACAAACACGTACCTCTTTGCAATTAACCTCAAAAGACTCTGACTTGGCGGATACCGAGTATGTTGTCTTCAATGATAAAGCGTCAGAACGTGACAGTCGAGGAGACGATGAAACACCCGCAAACGAGCAGTCATCGGCTGAACAGAAAAACGTCGTAGCAGATAGGTCCCGTGAAGACGAAGGGACGAAATCTTCGGTATCAACCGAAGATGCTTTGGTTAATACTGTTATAGACATTCTCTCGTCTCGGGAATCCGATAGTTTGACAACTGAGGAAGTCTCTGGTAGGTTTCAAACAAAATCTCACGACACTCCTGTGGTACCTAAGGTTAAAACACCTAACTCTGATACGTCTAACGGCGAAGAAGCTGAAAAGACACCTAAAACTCGAAAATCACGGAAATCTTTGGATGTAAAAGAAGTTCAGTTGTCCCCTGATCCCGTCACGGCGGCGGGCACACTTTCTTCTCGTCGATCACAGAGAAAGAAATCCACGCCTTCACTTCCAGAGGCTACTACACTTTTGCAGGACTCTGCGAAAAATTTTGAAGACGAGGAACACATTGAAGATGAAGAATCTTTAGCGTCCCCTAAAAAGGTTTCTAGAAAAACTGCCCCTATGAAATCAACAGAGACTGTTACTAAAAGAGTTACAAGAAGTCGACAGAAAAAGTGATTAAACCTGGAAGCGCCTTAAGGCTCGTTGTTTCTAGTGTTGTTGTTGTTGTCTTTTTTCTTTTTTGAATAACTTCTGGTAGTTTTCAATCATTACGTAAACCCGTACTGAAGATACACATAGTTAAGAAACAGGCTTCAGTTCCACTCTTCAATTCGCCAGAAAAGGTTGTTCTTCGAGAATTGCATGAAATCATGAAATGCTGATTTACTGCTCTTTGTTTCGGTGATGAAAACAGATGTGGCCTGTGACTTACTGGTTGCAAACCTTTGGACAAGAACTCCATTTAAATATAAATAAGTAGAGCAAGGTAATTTAAACAAGGGTATTCTCCTTGCAAGAACACAAGTGACAGAACATAAGAAAAGCAGGGCACGAGTATTGTCCATTATTGAATTTTCAACTCCGAATATTACATGTCTGGCGTTCTGATTCCAACTCCGATTATCAGCTTATGTTCCGAGTCACCTTACTTGGAAATGCTCTGCGTTAACTGTTGCGGAGCTGAAAAAGCCTCAAATATCCAAAATTTCAGGATGTAATGAAATTTGATTAGACAATTATTTCATTCGTTCTTGTTGGATACGAGATTGGTCATAACAATCTCATGTCCAACGCGCGCTCGTGGAATACAGTTAAGCAAAAGGTTATTTTATGAAAGCAGAAGAGACAACTCATATTCTGTGTGCGCGATAACAGAATGATTCACCTTTGGGTTAACCGCGTAGTTATGAGGTAATTAACAAGCTTAATTTGTCTTTTGTGACCAAACTTTCAATAGAGAGATTGTTGTAATAGTAAATACCAGTTGTGATATGTATTATCAGGATTCTTCGCGCAGCAATTTTTAACGAGAAAAAGTGAATTCAATTTTTTCTTTGTTATTTGTGCGGTTAGTTATCCCTGGTCTTTCGTATTTAAAGCCTGGACATAAGTGCCTCTAAGTTATGAACGGCCGCACTGTACCATTTACATGAATGGAATTTTCTTTAGAAATATCTTTCCGTGGTGGTGGGTGAGAAGCGTTACCAAAAGAAACTACCATCGTCTGTCGGTAAGCTCTCAATTTAAGGTTTAAAAAATTCCGGCTGTAAACCATTACCCTTTAACTTGTTGCTATCTACATAGCGAACTAACGCTAGTATTTTTGACAGGGCGGGTTTGAAAGTTTCTAGAAAGGCGCACTTGTAGGTGTAGTCCTTTTTTCTCACATTTTTGCGGATTTGGCAGGTTTCATGAATAGAGAGCCTTGGTTAAATTTTATCCGTAAAACGCTGCTTGCCTCCCCCTTCCCTCCTCCCCTCTCCTATTTGCCAAGACAATTCAAGAATAGCTGTTCATCATATATTTTTTTTTTTTGGTATCAGACGTTGATCTCACTTCTTCATTTTCTTACGCACTTTGCTGCTTGTCGCAATATCACGGTGAAACTCTAGTGACTTTTGTGTATGAATACGACCTTTATGGTTCATTCAACTCTCGTCATCACGGGAAGACGTCAAATGGGAAGAGCAGAGGTCGTCAAAGACTTCGTTTTGACTTGCAGGCAATTAGTTGATGAATTATAAAGGGACCCCGAGCTTGTTTTATTAGCATCTAAAACTTTTATGATCTCACCACAACATTTCATTAAAGACTGCTAGTCTTAAAACACCAAACCGTTCATTACATATTGTTTTTATTACGCTTTTGTCGCGGCGAACTTTTCTTTTAATCCTACACACAAATAAATTGATTTAAATGGGTACCTGCTGTTCATTACAGAAAGAAATTACAGAGGGAGAAGACATTTTAAGGCATTAAACGCACACTGGTTAACTTCAGTAGCCAGTCGCTAAGATCCTCCATCTCCTCTGTAAAGCCTTGGAGTCAACCCTTTCCTGAATAGATCCATTAATAAAAAGGCTTCCAGAGGAAGTTTTGAGTTCTAAGACCCATGCAATCAAAACAGAGGTATGATAATCCTATTGTTTTATGTCAAACATCCGCTCATATGCATTGAGCAGCGAAATCAGTTTTTGCGATTCACGGTGGACTCAACGGGAAGGAGTGTTTTCAAGGAACTAGCGGATATAGAGGCTCCCGTTGATGGGAACCGGTTATATTAGCTAAAAATGAACACTTATGGTTAGAAGAGCCAGAGAATTGACATATGAAAACAACGGTGCTACAGTTTATGTTGTGAGCTCCATGACCTCCCACAATGTTTTGTCTTCAGTGCTCTCGCTATGTGACAATCATGAATTAATGTAAAGTTCTCATTAGCCAGTTCCTTTTAAATTATAATATGTCAGATATCAAGCCCACTTCCGAAGTCGAAGAGAAATATGTGATATTCACCCTGGACAAACAAATCAGTGTTCACTTTATTCGTTGACTAATACTTGATACTGATGAATATCAGTATTATTTGCTTGTGATGGGAGGAAGGCGCTGTGAGGGCCTCTCTGGTGTCACCAAATGATCCATCAGTAGAGCTGCAGTTTGTGTCGACTTGTTGTACCGTTGTATGGTTGGTGCATTATCTGTTTGCACCGTACCAGTCCCCTGTGCAGAGTCCCATGCCGTCATTTCTGATGAACTTGGGTCAACCACGTGATTAATGGCGTTCCTTTACCAAAGGGTGGAGAATAAATAATGAAAATTAGGTTCAGATGCCAGGATTTTCAAAGGAAATAA